TTTTTTTTTTGGAAGTGGGGATACAGGAACCAGGCCGGCCTACATGAGAATGAAAATGAAAAAAGTTCAAAGATATGGTAAAAAGGAAAAAAGGAGAAAGGAGGAAGAAAGTGGAACCAGAGAGCAATGAGGAATGAATGAATAAATAAAAACTGAACAAGGAACTAAGCTACCTCTCTGGGATCCACTGGCATTGGTCGCTAACGAGATTATTTGGTGATTCTGATTATGTCACAGGTATCTGGTAAAGCTTATATGGTGGAGGCAGAAAGGAAGGGCTGTAGGAGAGTTCCTAACAAACTGGGGGCCAGGCAGCAACAAGAAAAACTCAAAACTACGGCAGGGCAGCAGAATTACAGTACAGTCCTGATTCTAGAAGCTATAATGCCTGACTGAGTGTTCCAACATTTCACGGCTGGGGCGCACCATTTCCTTCACTCGGCTACCATTTTTGTAAATCTTGAATGTTGGTACAATCCTCACATTTTCAGTGTTTGCAACTGCTTGGTTTTCTTCAATGTCAACCTATGATCCATCACCATAATAAGTACACAAATTTCCTTCTCTTAAATATGCTTATGTACCAAGTACGAGAGCATGCAAAGCGTAGTCAAACTAGAATATGATGCATTGTATCAGTCAGTAATTTACCTTGAGGAAATTTATGGATGGGTACCGGCCACAAAGTGTGTCCAGAAAAGGAGATATTTGCTTGCATTGGAAATCAGAGGCTGCTTTAAAATGGACCACAGAGACACCTGTAAATATGACTTTTAGGCAATTGCGCAATGATGTAGTGTAAAAATAAGACGGTGACAGACCTGTAGATAGGGAGGCCTACCTGGTAAAGCCATTGCAGCTCTGAACTGCTCAAGACCTAATATTTCTTCTACTTCACCGCCAAACTTCATATTATAAACTTCTTCCCCGAGGGATTTTTTTAATGCAACTTGAGCATGAAACAAAGATTCAGCAACTTCATTGTCGTCAGGAAGCTCCCTCCTCAAGACCTCATAATCTCTAACAGCATCTACCCATCTTTCTAGCTGTAATACACAAAAATCTAACAAACTAAATTGCACATTTTTTACAAAAGGAAAAATACATGAAGAAAGAAAACAAAATGATGAGGTTTAGAAATGCATTTTACCTTGCTGTTTGAGGCAGCCCTTCTAAGTAGGGCTTTTGTGTAATTGGGTTTAATACATAGGGCCTGGTTGCAGTCTTCAATGGATCGCTCCCACATCCCAAGTTTAAACCAACAAGCTGCTCTGTTGCAAAATAGAACAGAGTTTGAAGGATCAAGCCTCAGACCATCTCCGTATGCTGAGCAAGCTTCAGTGAACCTTTCGGACTTGAAGAGATCATTGCCTCGGGCACGGGCTCTCACAACCATACGCACATTATTAAGCAGCACTGCAGCTTCAATGTTCCGAGGATCAATCAGCCCAGCTTTCTCAGCAGCAGTAACTGCATTCTCAAACCTGCAACATCCATCATCTATCCTCACTCTCCACAAAAACTTAAACCATCTTATTTCTGATGAAGCCTAGAATCTTTGAACTCACCTTCCAAATGCCATCTCAATTTGGGCCATGACAAAGTAACTGTAAGCTTCAGAAAGCATCCCCAAGAACTTAGATTGTGAGGGGTTGGTCTCTAATTTGGGTGTGTTTGATAAGACTAATTCAGCATCATCAATTTGGTGGAGCTTCAAAAGTGCTTCCGCTCTACACATACAGAGCTGTAAATTCAATTTGAACAAGTTCAGCATTTCGCTACACTTTCCATTGCAACAAATCATCCAATCCTGGTAGACAAAACTTATAGAAACTTAGAGATTAATATTTACCTGAGGAGAAAAGTCAGCTCCAGAAGCAATAGTAGCATCACATTCTCTCAATACACTTTTCCAATCTCCTACACGACGGGAATCTGTACATTTTTTGAGATGCTTCTCTACTGCCTGCAATTTCTGTAACTCAGCCGGATCTGGCTTCAACCCTGGAAAACAAAGGTGCCTCCTGGCATTTTCAACTTGTCCTAACCTGCCATAACATGGGATTCTGTCAAGTAAATTCCCTGCTGCATTAAGCTGGAGAAATACATTGAAATTCAATCCACCTACAATTATATAAACCATCAAAACACTGGATCTGTAGAATTTAAATCTAAACGAACCAGCAAAAATTTGGAGCTCCACTGAAAACCTCTAAAGAAGATTCCAGTAAGCTGGTATATCAAGCAATACAAAAAATTGCAGCAAAACTGAATCTGTCCATTCCACTAGTCAAATTCAACTAATTGCTACCCAAGGAAGCATACATGTGTTCATCCAGGAAACTAGAATGACACATGGAAATTGTATACACATAGTAACTAATGTAGAAATCTAAAGCAAGCAAGAAAAATACAGGAGAACAAATCAACAATCCAAATCAAAAGGGCAAACCAGAGCAGAATGAACCAGATCCAAGGACCAAACAAGCAGAGGCATTCTGTACAATGTTGACCAGCTAATTAACAAGACTGACACTAACCCATCACCAACTAATTCACCAACATATTAGCTTCAAAAATGAACTGAGCTTTAATGTTTTACATCCCAACAACTCACCTAAGAAACAAAGACCCCAAACGCTGGTGAGCTCTGCCATAATTGGGATCCAACCTTACTGCCTCTTCACATTCCCTCACGGCCTCCATCAGCCGCCCGAGACCGGTCAATGCCGCCGCCCGGTTGCTCCGGTAGGCTGGATTGGCCGGAGACAATGCGATTGCCCGATCGTACAAGCTCAAAGCCTCCGCAAAATGGCCTCTTCTGTACTGCTCATTCCCAGCTCTCTTCACCTCCTCTGGATCCGCACTCACCATTGTTCTCTTCAACAAGTCACCGCCGCCAGTTACCCTCGAACTCACAGGACTCACCGCCTCTATGCCGCCACCTTTGGCCGCCGGGCCGCCCCGCATTATGCTCCCGTGACCGTAATTGCCCATACCCGAACCCAAAACATCGGTTCTGGAGCTCCGGTTTGGGACCATACCCGTTTTTAAGATTTTTCCAGACGGGCATATGTTCCCAGTGGGCAAAACATTGAGTGGCGGAGAGTTCACAGAGCTCTGACCCGAGTATATTAACGGGTGGGTGGAGCCGGAATCGGATCTTGTATGGCCCGTTTTGAAATTCCGGGTGTTTCCGGCGGATCGGACGCTCTCGGCGGCGGTGGGACTGCTCTCACTAGAGCCTGACAGCTCGCCGGAATGGTTGTTTGGGGCTGAATCGGACCTTTTGGCAGCTGGGTTGGGCCCATTTCGGCCTGAGAACGATCCGGACGAGCTGGAGCTACTACTTGTAGCAGTGGCGAGACCGCCGCTTTGACGGGTCCGAAGAGGGGAAACGGGTGAACCCAGATCGAGCTCTCGAAAATCAGGCTTGTTGGCTTCGCAACTCAGCGAGTCACGGAAGCGATCGTTGAGCGAGTCGAGGCCTAGCTCCGAAATGGGCTTCCCAGAATGCGACATTTCCAAAAACAAAAGCAAAGCTTGTAAATTTTTTCTCTCTCTCCCCCTCTGTAAATTTTGGTACTTTTTTCTCCTTTCTAGGGTCCTCTCCCTCAGCAATGTATGCGAGTGAAGCTACTACAAGAAGAACAATGGCGGCAAGCAGAGACAGAGACAGACACAGACACAGACACACACAAACCCAGAAGCAGCAGAAAATGAAGAGGCTTTGATGAAGACATCAAGAGATACAGAGAGAGAGAGAGAAGGGAAAGAGAAGCCGAGATGGGGATCTCGTGATATAAAAGAAGGAAGCAAAGAATGAATGTGAAGTCCTTAGAGAGGAGAGAGAGGAGAAAGAAAGAAAGAAAGAAAGCAAGGAGAGAACTTTTATTGTTGTTTTTTCTTCCCTTTCTCTCTTTCTTTCACCTGCTGCTTCACGAGACAGGTTTCTCTCTTCTCCTCTTGTTTTGTATTTTTATCATCAATTTTCTTTCTCAGTCTAAAATCTAAGAACTAAAATCTAAAATCCCTAATAAAAATCCAATATCTCTATCTCTCTCCTCTCCTCTCCTCTCTCTTCTTTGGGTACTCTCCAACCTTCCTCCATAATTCACTTTATTTGTTGTTTTTTTCTTGCAGAAATTAGTGCCATGGAGGCCTACTCTCCCTTTAGAGGCCGTGAGCAACAAACACACTCCCCCACTCTCTTCAATGGTGACACCTAAGCATTGGCATTTGGGCTCTCTCTCCAACTCTTTTTCATGGCCTTGCTTGCCTTCCTCTCCTTTTGTCAAACATATTGATTTTGACTTCACATTGGTTTAAGCCTCATTATGACATATTTTTAATCATGTAGATTTTGCTTAAGGCATGAAAGGTGACAACATGGGAAAATAAAGTGCCAGCTTATATATATGAATTCATTTTTTCTTAAATAATGCTTGTATATTAAACAAAAACCCACGATGGTACTGCTATCGGCGGTTTGTATTACTGGTACTTCTCTTTCCAAAGTTAGTAAACAAAACTTTGAATTCTTTTATTCTAAAATGAGTATACAACATGAGTCAAATGAATACTTGTGAACATGTGATAGTCAAAAGATGAATATTTAGGATTGATTGTAGAGAAGGTGCACAAATTACATCAATGATGTTAGACTACTTCTTTTTATTACATTGAGAGGGATTGATATGAACACTTACATTTTCTAATCATAACTTATTTATCTTATACGTGACTTTCGCAAAAGGTTTGTAACTCAAGTGGTTAAGAGCATTTATCCGTGCACCTTAAATTCTAGATTCGATTCTCCCCTCCTTTAATATCCCTTGTATTTAAAAAAATCTTACTTTTATTACATTGAGAGGGATTGATATGAACACTTACATTTTCTAATCATAACTTATTTATCTTATACGTGACTTTCACAAAAGGTTTGTAACTCAAGTGGTTAAAAGTATTTATCTGTGCACCTTAAATCCTAGATTCGATTCTCCCCTCCTCTAATATCTCTTGTATTAAAAAAAATCTTATATATGATCTTCTTAGTTAATACGAGCAATTAATTAAAATTCTTATTTTGAGCATGTATTTCAAATTAATTGATACGCGTAATGCTATTTATTCATATTTTACTTGTTACATATATTAATTATAGCTTTCATATTAATGGGTAAGCAAATGTTCGAATTCGGGACATTTCTTTTAACCGAAAGAAGAAAAATATGCTTATAGAGGCTTAATGAAAAATGATATTAACTTGCAAATCAGTAGTCTCAAGTTCAAACTTTCATGGCATCTTGGTAGTGTGTATACGAGATTTTTCGCGGTAGAAGAGAAAAAGAAAAGAAAAGAAAAAAACACAAAACCAAACAAAACAGAAGGCTCAACGGTCCCTAACCACGTTGAGCTGAAAGCCTTGTCAGTAGTATTGACAATGACAACAACCATGAATTCGTGAAGTGAAATGGTGTGAGTACTTACACCTTAGCATTAATGTTTTTTTGGCAAACTACTTCTCCTCTCATCCTAGATTTCCTGTACTTTCCAGATTTTTTACTTTCCTGAAGCAAAATACAAGATTTAATTTAATGACTGCTCGAAACCAAATTACCAAAACACCCTCCACGCTCTAGCTTGTTTCACATTTCTACCCCTTGAATTTCCCCTTATTTACGGATATGCCTCGGAAACCCCCCGTCCACCTGTTTCGCTGTCCTTCCTTCTTCGATAAGCCCGAGAGAAAAAAGGGAGTTAAAAGTGAAAACGTTGAATGAGAGTGGCAAGGGCATTATAGAGGATGAGCAATGAGATTGGGGCTATTTTAGTAATCTCGGGTGGGTATCGACAGAAGTAGCTGGCCATGTGCAGGTGAGAGTGCCGTGCCAGCTGGCCCATTCAGAGAATTTCTCAAGCCAAACAGTGCCGTCCAGCTAAGCACCAAACGGCAGGGGCTGACATCGTTTAGTAATGATACGGAGAATATGCCTCTGGAGAGAAACGTTGTCGTTTTTGAGACGATGGATGGTGATGGTGACAGCAGCAGAGGAGCAGGGCCATCCCAGTGACGTTCGCATGGAAAGCAAAGGAGAATGATGACCAGGCAATCCATTTCATGCCAGGTAGGCTAAATAAACTTGGCATGGATATATTTTTTTTCTCCTTTCATTTTTTATTGTTGTATTTAGTTTTCTTTTTTCTAAATAATGAAATCGAAGATGTTCAGGGTCTTCTTGTAGCATGTTAGCTTTGTGTTACATCTAACATTTGATTAATATGTAAGGAGTTTGTAGTTTAAGTGATTAAGAATTTACGATTAAGGGCGGCCCTGAGAGTGTGCAAGTGGTGCCACAGCATAGGGGCCCAATTTTTTTTTACATGTATATTATGTATATTAATATTATAGGTATTATATATATACTTGAGCGTATAAGAACATAACACAAGTGTTTTGTGTTACATCTAACGTTGGATTAATATGTAAGGAGTTTGAAGTTCAAGTGATTAAGAACTTACAGTTATGGGCGGCTCTGAGGGTGTGCAAGTGGTGCCACAGCATAGGGCCCCAAATTTTTTTTACATGTATATTATGTATATTAATATTATAGGTATTATATATATACTTGAGCGTATAAGAACATAACACAAGTGTGTATTTGGTTGAGTTGGAATTCATCCCTTTGATTTTAGTAAGTAAGTTGGATTCGAGTTCATATTATGTCATTTAGTAGTTGTTTTTTTACATTTCTACTCCTTTTTTCTATTGTTAACAACCAGAAAAAAAAAAAAAAAAAAAGAAAGAAAAAAAGAAGATGAAAGAGGAAATACGTTAAAGAAGAGGAAAGCAATACACACAAGCTTTCTCCAATCAAACAAAGAAATTTGGAGTGTATGTTTTCACCCACTCAAAACGAAACAAAAAAAATTAATGTCTTGTTCCTCTTTCATTTTCTCAAATTGAAACATTAAGACTATTATGAATGTTATTTATGAATGTTGTTTATGATTGTTATTTCATGCTAATAGATGATGAATTTTAGTTATTAATTAAAAAAATTATTTTATGGTGTTAAGTCATGGCATTTTTTATTATAAATATTTCCATATTAGATTGAGTGCTCTAATTTAAGTTTCGCATAGGGCCGTCAAAATCTCAGGACCGCCCTGCTTACAATTATTTATCTTTGCATCCAAAATCTTATGTTTGATTTCCACTTTCTCCAATATCACTTTATATAATTAAAAATTTCAATCAGCACTAAATCAATGAAGACAAAAAATAAAAAATGCTAAATAACATTGCATTAATTCTCTATTATCCATATTCAGTAATTTTGAGCATGCCAATCCTACATAAGGGATTTCTTTGTTTTCACGTAATTGTAAATCTAGAATCTAGAATTTATTTAATGGTCGAATAGAAATTGAATTTTATTGGGACGTTTTTTGCAGTGAAAGTTACAAGTTGTTTTTGTTTGTGAGTATGTGAAAATTGCAATCTATCTTGATAATTTTTTTAGTATATGCAATTTAGTATTTAAAAATAGAAACAATTCTAAATTAAATTAAAATGAGTTGGAGAATTTTGAGCGATCAACTAGCTATTAATCTAATGTAGGTAATATCATAATACGTATGGTTACAAAATGGTACGTGGCTGTCACGTGTCAAATCATTTACAGATAAAAATGGGCATGTGGTGCCACACAGGCACAACCTCTCTGAGCTGTGAGCCACTAATGTTAGAAAAGAATAAATTTTTGCATGTAAATTGTAAAACAAGAAAATGTTTAAATTCAGAACAAGTGAATAGAGAGGTGTATTTAACTATTGTTTCATAGTCGATGGGTCTAACCCGGTGAAAATTGGTCTTGACTTACAGACCAGTAATTATGTATTTGATTTTCTATGACATTTTGATGGTGAGTATGAGAAACTCCTTTCCCGCTTGTAGTTTAGACTATAATTGTATTATAAAAAATAAGTTTAATTTATAATATGTCATAATTTCAGTCTTTTTCAATATGCTTTAATAAATACTTTTCACTCTCTTAACCTCTTTAAGTATTTTTCATAGAACATGTCCCAACTCCAGAGTCTTTTTCAAATACAATTGTCATATGCTTTGACAATGTATATTACTTTTCACCCTCCTAACCTCATTTGACCAAACTACTTGCTTTCTCATTTTCAAATATTTTGTGTTTTTTTGTTGCTTATTTCACACTATATCTAATCTAACACTTCCAAAAAATAATTAAATTAGCAAGATACATTGCGTGTGTACAAGTTCAGGAGAAGAAAAGGGGAAAAAAAACCTCAATTTCAGAAATGGTTATGTCTTTTTCCCTTTCTTCTTAGGTTGCTTGCTTGTAGTTTACATTTGGTATCTTCGGATTTTATGTTACATATCTTACGAAGTCATTGTTATCCGATTAACCTGAATTTGGACTTATAAATCGTCATGGTGAGCTAATGATGTGAGATCCACGATAACGATAATTTCATTTAATATT